AAATCTTCAATAATTGTTGTTGATTGCAGATGTGTCTAGTAGTTCCCATTGATTTAGCTTGTAAAGCGGGAGAATGGCGCTAGGCTTAAGGCTGGGTTATACTCAGAAACCAGGTCGTCTGCGTGTCGCAGTTAACACAGACACTGCTGCACCTCTCCAAAATTGTAGGTGAGCGCAGACAGGAGGCCTCTGATTGGTCAAATCTACACCCACTCTCAACTATATGTATTTCCTGTTTGGTACCTTACAGGCTTGTTTTGTTTGTATGACCGCCAGTGTAGAAAACGACTCTTGAAGATGGACCATCTAGAAGAGCAAGATGCGTGAGAACGCTGGGACCCTTTTTCCACCTGGATCTCTGCTCTTTTTCTCCCTCATGTCCCTCCGTCGTCGCACAAACTTGCCCCTTCCTTTTTTCACTTTCTAGTGAAAAGTTCCTGATTGTCCCTCTTTGTGTGTGGCGTGGTATAACATAGCGCAGACCACGCTTCACTGTTGGGCATAAATCAAAAATATCTGCATCATACCTGCGACAAGCTAACTGTGACACACTGCTGCGTAGGGTTGTCACAATACTAAACTTTTCAACTCGATACCGATACTAAATAAAATATTCGATACTCGATACCATTTTCGATACCACAAGAATAAAACCAAAGCCAAACCTGTCAAACAAAAATAATTCTTCCTGTTACAAAAAAAGTCTGAAACTGAAAAATGCACAGAATTATTCAATCACACAGTGTTCAGAAAGTGCATTTTCCACTATTCTGCACTTTAGATGGCTGTATCGATACTTTTGAAAATGAGTATTGTATCTGGATACAACGTTTCAGTATCGATACTTTTTTGAGTATCGATACTTTTGACAACCCTACTGCTGCGGGAGGATAACCAGCCTTTAACCGCACTGTGATGTCACTGCCGAAGATGTCAGGAGTGAGGTGTTACTTGTATTTGGGCCAAAAATGGCCGCTCCCAGACTCAGTGATAGTGATGAAAATTATTGTTTTTATTTTTACTGATTAACGCTAAATTTATTAAACCACAGTAAACGTATTAGTTTTAGGTATAAATAATGATACATTGATTATTCCTTGCTGACCGGACTTTTCCTTTGATAATAAATGAAGATCAGTGGTGCTGTGGGAGGAGCCAGTGGATAACTCTGGAAACAATGTTTGATATTTACAGCAGATATTCCTCTAAGAAGAGGTTTCATCACACAAACCGAGCTTCAGGGTTCACCACATGAGCCCTTCTAAAACAGCTTTGTTTCCTGGGGCTGGGGAATGCACTGCACCGCCCACAGCCATCCTAAAACTGGGCACAATAACAGGGAGCCACATGACTGGGAGTGAACCGGTTCACCAGGCAGCTGGGTTTATTCCCACAGCAGGAGCCTCCTTGTTTCCATCAGAGCTGGTTACAGTGAAAGGAATCCAGTCTTTGAGCAGAATGTCTGCATGATTCCTGACCGCCTGAACTTTAGAGTCACATGAACAGAACATGAAGAAGGATCAGAGCTGCAGGTTTCCTCTGCCTCAGCCGACTGTGAAAACTTAGACTTTGACAAACTTTATTGTGATTTTGTAAACACAGTGTATAGAAAACTAAATTTCGTTCAGTACAGCTCTCATGACATTTCCATTTCGTAAAGTTCAGCAGTGATAAAATGTAAACTTAAGCCTGAGATGTGAAAATCAGATTAAATAGAAGAACAGAATAGAAATAACCTTTATTGTTGTTCACATGAAGATTTTTAATGGAAAAATCAGAGTTAGAAAGGTAGATCATACACGCATTCCTTCAGTTCTGCACCACAGGCCTGTCAGGGCCGTAGCTAGATGGGGGGTGGGGGCCATGGCCGCCCTCAGTCATCCCCACCCCACCAGGTGATTTGTTAGACTTAGTTAGATTTATATTTTTTGCAGTGTATGATCACAGTGCACTGGAAAAATGGAAATCTAGATAAGTCCTTTTTTTTCCTAAATTAAGTGCATTTTTTCTTGAATTGAGGATGTAAGTGAGACACTTTGCCAATGGAACAAGACAATTTACATTTAAAATAAGAAAAACACAATTTAATTGTCTTATATCAAGTGTATATTATCTGATTACCTTATTTTAAGTGTAAAAATCCTCATTCCATTGGCAAATCATCTTATTTACCTGCTTGAATTAAGAGTAAATTTAAGATATTTTGACTTATTTCTAGATCGTTTTTGCAGTGGCCATTAAAGGAATAGTACACCCAAAACATGATTAGCCTTCATTTTCTACTCACCC